TTGAACTAAATTCTGGATGAAATTGCAGAAATAATTAGTAGGAAGCGAATAAGTCAATTTACAGATCGATGAAAATAAACATCCAGTAAGATGATTAGGGAAAACCGAAGATAGGACTGATATCATTTTTATCTGAGAATGTTAACTAACTGATTGTAAGATCTACCATTACTCGTATATATTTTTAAATTTTAAATTGATTATTTTACAATCGTTAAATTGTTTTACCGATGTAACGTTTCTTATCCAATGAGTTCTAAACTTATCAAACATTTATAGTCAGAAAACCCTGAAATAACGACGGAAGAACCAAGCATTACAGAAACTGAAGCATATGATACTGATGAAACTGAAGGTTGGTTAATTGTTCGAAGAATAAAAATGCTGAATCACTTGTTTTATTCCTTATGCATTCTATTTAAAATATGAAATTGTGTGATGACGAAGCATTTTGATGCTTTTAATAACATTTGAAAGCTAAATTTAAATTTAATGCTTGCTAAGACTTAATAAATATACTTGAAATGTGTAACAGGTAAGTCATTTAGAATTCCCATACATTTATATTTTTCTTTCTACCATAATTTGTCCTTTTTTTCCCCAAAAAAATTACCTATCACGGAACTAAACATTGCAGAAACTTCCGAAACTGAAGCATATGATACTGATGAAACTGAAGGTTGGTTAGTTATTCAAAGAATAAAAATGCTGGATCGCTACTTATTTATTTCTTATGCATTCTATTTAAAATATGAAGTGGTTTGATGACAAAACTTAAGAAGCATTTTGATGCTTCTAATTTATATTTGAAGGCTAAATTTAAATTTAATGCTTGCTAAAACTTAACAACACACTTGAAATATGTGACAGGTAAGTCATTTGGAATCTCCATATATTTATATTTTTCTTTCTACCCATAATTTGTCCTTTTTTTCCCCAAAAAAATTATCTATTACCGGAACTAAACATTGCAGAAACTTCCGAAACTGAAGAGACAACGTATGATACTGATGTAACTGAAGGTTGGTTATTCGCAGAACAAAAATCCTGGTTCACTTGTTTTATTCCTTATGCATTCTATTTAAAATATAAAATAGTTTGAAATATGAAAACTAAGAAGCCTTTTGTATGCTTCTGATGAAGACATATATTTGAAGCTATGTTCAAATTTAATGTTTACAAATGCATTGGAAATATGTGACAGTTAAATCATTTGGAATCCACACGTATATATTTTTTCTTACCTGTAATTTGTCCTTTTTGTCTCAAAAATGTTATCAATCATACAGTGAATGAACAGACCGCTAGGGTATTGAGATCCATTTCAGGTCAGGAATGTCCAGAACCTGACGGTTTGTTCCCGCATCCTACCGATTGCCATCTGTTTATTCAATGCTCAAATAACAATGCGTATGTGAAGCAATGTCCAGCGACTACTTTCTTTAATGAAGCAATCAAAGCTTGTGACCACATGACAAATGCACCGGACACATGCCAATAATTTGTTGTTCTCCGTAATGTGTTAGTTGTAGAATAAAAGTTTAGAATAAAAATACTAATATAGTTGTGAAATTAGTCTAACACTAGTAGATGGAATCGAGTTAGACTTTCATATGTTTCAATAGCTTTTCTTGTTTATTATTGCAGTTGAATGCATTGAGTGGAAAGGTCTATTGTAACGATTTTATTTGATAGCAATAATAAAATGATAGTTTGGTAGAATATCTATGAAGAAGATGAATAATAAATAGATGAAGTAAATCATTTAAATGAATTGAATTAAATGAGCGTGAGAGAGCAATCGAACTGCAACTTGCTGATAAAATCCTTATACTGTGGACAGGATTTTGAAATAAGCACATAATTACATTCAGGAAAGAGCTATTAGCTCTTTACTCTTTATATAGTAAGAGATGGGTTCTAATATTGTAGCTTCTTAAAGAATGACTATTAGCTTAGAAAACCTTTACAACATTTCAACATTGCAAGCAAATTTAGTTTGATACAAAAGAGTGATTTTTAGCATATTTAAACAATGCACATAATCTTTATTAACAGTTGAAAATTTCTAGACAAGTAGATAAGCTCAGCCACATGGGTGCTGGAGTAATGATTGCTTAGATGAGATGAGATGACCATTTTGAGGAACACAAGTATACGTATTGTCCTTATTCACTCGATAATTATAAAGTGATTCCACGCATCTATCACACTGCTAATAAGTTAAAATCATTCTCGAAAAACCTACAAGTGGCCTAGAAGCGCCAGTAAAAAAATCTCTCAAATCTTAAGGGATCACTTTGCATGCCATTTGCTTTTCTTAAAGTGTTATTTGAAATGTTTCCGAATTTCTCAGAATTTGAAATCTTGTTAAAAAAAACATATACTGATGAGGGATAGATAACAGTGGCTCAGAATTTATTCATTTAGATCATTTGACCGTCCAACCCTATACTATTAACATCCAATTAGTTTCTGATAGCAACAAAGTTGCTTGTACATCCTCAACTCTTCTCGGCACCTCAAACTTGGGCAATTATAAAATGATTAATACATGAATGAACGCAGGAATTAGAAAGGCAAATTTGATAATACTAATAAGAAAAAGGCAAATCACCTCAAATATCCGAACCAATCAATCCGGTCCAAAGAATTTTGTAAAATGGATTTGATCGAACTATACGTTTTAAGAGTGACATAGCACAGTTCCGTTATATCATCACAAGAAATAACGTCTTCAGGATATGCATATCAGTTGTAACCCTTTTGTCGGGAAGTGTAAAATTATAAAGCGTTGTATGCAACTTAAAGGGATGATGGATCTTAAACAATTATTAAAGACAAACAAAAATTAATTTATGGAACTTTTCTTACACAGATATAATTTGCATGAAAAAGCAATAGCATTAGTAATATACATTATTTAGCAAATTGCTGCTATTTATATTCGTACCACAAAAGCATCATTTTTGTGAAAAAAATCAGCAAACAATTGGAAAGACGAAGTTTCAATAAATTAGTCGATCAATAAATTACTACTTTCATAAGCATATAACTCCATTTCAATCTGTTTGAAAAAAATTGCAGAAAATCAAAAAACATGAGACTGCCGATATTTTCGTAAGCTATATAATTTATTACGCTAATTCTTTTCAAATTATTCTGCCCGCTCCCATTAACAAAAAAAAGGAAACCTCCTTTTACTCTAGAATGTCCTGTACAAGACCAAAATGGATGGAAATGTAACTCCAAAATCTTGGACAAATGATATTGATTTAAAAAGCAATGAAGAACAATTAATGATAAAACAAAATTGATGAAATGACAAGGAATTATTATTGTCCAATATACAGCAAGAGTAGAAAAGTGACATTAGAAGCAATATGAAAAATTCGGAATTAAACCAACGAAATTACAAATTGTCGATCACTGACCGAATTCTTATTTCTTAGTTAAACTTTGAATTTTTAGCAACAAAAAACTTTGCAGTCAAAAAAAGGTCAGTGGAACTTGACGAAATTTATTTCAGCTATGAAATCAGTGTTACAGTATTTTTCAGAATGTATATTCTTAAAATAATTTGATATTCATTGAAATTCAATTTCATTTTCTTGAAATAACCGTTTTCTTATTTCAATATGTAATAATATATCAGCAGAGTAAATATAATATGTAACAAAAAAAGCTGAAAGTGATAGATACATCTCAAAAAAAAAGAAGATTACTTGTATATAAATAAATATATATAATATAAATAAGACTAGAAATTAGGAAATTCGGAAAAGTCACGAGACGAAAAACACGTAGGCAGACAGAAAGATGGGAAAAGCAAAGTTTCTACAACATCCACATAAAATATAATTTACAAAGTATTTATAAGTGAACACTATATGTAAAATTATTATGTATGTAGAAGAACCTAAATTTACTCTTTATACAAAGATATGTAGCAAAATAAGTATCGTGATCAGTATAATGCGATTAATTTAATCCCGACAAAAATTTTAACTAAAAGTAAAATTACAACTGTACAGTTCCACTGAAGTATGGTAGTAACATAAGCACCTCTATGTGGATCGTTGCATTATTAAATTCGGATTAAAAGAAAAAAAAATCTGCTCTGCTCTAAGATCAAAGTCCTGACAGCTAGCATTTTCTAAACAGATAGTTAATTGCAGAGATGGGAAGAACAGAGACGATGCCAATGAAGATGACTTTATTAATATTACTACTAATTATTATTCATTATCATTATTTATAACAATAATGATAGTTATTATTATTATTGCTCTTATTATTGCTGTTACTACTAATATCATTTAATAACATTATTAATTATTTATTAATTGTTATTACTATCATTGGTTATTATTAATTATTGTTACATTTTGTTACGTCAACTATAGACTTCCGAGCCAAATTTTAAGGTTTTATGGAATAATTCCGAATACAAATAAAAATCTCTTGTAAAATTAAAATTTATCTCCCAAACATGTCAATTTTCCCAGGATTTTTCCTTTATCAGATAGCAATGGCTTACTTAAACAAAATCATTCCAATCTACAAATGTTATATGTGAAAACCTTTCCAAAATATGACCTATATTTTATAGATTATATATTTATAGACATTACCATTTGAAATTGATTATATACGGCTATCTTATAAGAAAGACATTAATATTCACAAATAATTTGCTCTACAGAAGAAGTATCAAGACTGTACCCTATAATGCTAATTTTTTTTTTGATTATTACTTTTAACAACAATTATAGCTGTAATTTCATTTTCAAGATAACCTGCACATTCGGTATCAAACCTGATGTAGTTTTTTTTCTCTATTTGCTGTTCCTTCGTTTTTTTTTAGTTCGAATACTAAAAAATACACACTGCCGAAAACGGCTGTTTAAAATAACAGCACCAATAAAATGAACTACACAAACGGTATCCAGATACCACCAATATATGTCCAGTTGGAAAAAATCCGTTCATCACAGGCATCAATTTCTTGAACAGCAAGAGTTTGCCTGCATGGTAACTCGGCCCAACAAACTTATCGATCCGGAATCCTTTCCATTTTTCAAATCTAAGTATCTGAAATATGAAGTTCAAAATTTGATTGTCTAAGACACAGTCCGAATAAAGCAAAAATTGGTGGAAGCAAATAAAATAATCAAATTCCAATCCCAATTCCACACAACAAACATTAGTGCACATTAAAATGAATTATAAGTGCGAACAAAAAAAATTTCTACCAATAATTTTCTCCAAACATTCATATGTTTGTAAATTAAATGGAATGATACAGTGGCTTTTCAGGATGACACTGTTAAAATATATCTGATAACACCTGCGCCATCATTAGTTAAATGGTATACCAAGTAATCAAGTATAAATTTCCAGGAGCCTCATAAATTTTTACAACAGAATTAATTTAAAAGCTTTTCTATTTTCCTTTCTTCATTAAACAAATTGCATGCTGATCCAGCAGCCAAACGATTCGATATTATTTGCCTAGCTAAGTGTACCAAAAATCGCAAACAGGAGAAGGCATATAGTCAAAAACTGAACTTTCAACACTACAAACAGTCAACCAGCAATAATTTATTCTGGGAATCTCTATACCTTCCATCATTTTTCTTCATATCATTTGTTAATCGAGTGGCAACTTCATGAAATAAAGTATCAACGTTGGTTGCATCAAGCGCTGAAGTTTCGAGGAAATAATCAAAAGCATTAGCATCTGCAAAATTCTTTCCTATCCTTTCCGGTACCTCACGTTCATCTTCTTTATCTATTTTATTCCCTGAAAGATCATCAGTGTAAACGTCAAAGCAGTTTTTCCATTTTTTAACATTGCATTCAGTTACTAAATTCCAAATATAATGAATAATCGGTTAAATAACAAAGTAAACAATTATAATAGTTATTAGTTTAAATTTAGAAAGCTAGTCAGTTCAATTTCACTTATTACTAACCTACTAGTATTTTTAGCACTCGTCGATTGGCATATTGCTCGATTTCACCAAGCCATTCTGGTAAGCAATCAAAACTTGGTTGGCAAGCTACATCATAAACTAGCACTATGGCATGTGCAGACCGGTAATAACTTTGAGTAATTGAACGGAAACGTTCTTGTCCAGCTGTATCCCATATTTGGAGCTATAACAATATGTATTATTATTTGAAATTTATAAATAATACTGTGCATAAGGATAGAAATTTCATGTAATGGGAGTTAACAAAACAATCCAAAAACACTTCATACAACAAGGAAATCGATTCGTGATTCCTGTGTAGAGGTTACAGATTTATAAACTGATGAAATATCAGTGAAAAAACAAATAGACCTTTGTTTTAAACAAATATACCTTTATTTTGTCATCATCAACTTTAACAGTTTTAATCATAAAATCAACACCGATTGTAGCACTCTGCCCAGGTGGAAAAATGCCCTACAACAAAGCAAGGTAGTAAACAATTAGTATGGCTGATATAAAACACATAAATGACAAAGCTCAAGTTTCAAACCTAAAGCTTGTGAACATTATTTCTGTTATTCCACTTTTCAAACAATTTTTACAGCGTCAAAACCTCTCATAAAAAATGGTTATCAGAAATTAGAATTTCGAGGTAACATCATATGCATGAATAAAAATAAAAGACATGTAACTGTCAAATCTTGTCACTATTTGGAAAAAACAGTCCAAAGTTGTTCGTAATTCAATACTCTAAATAAAAACACAAGAAAAAACAAGGAATAAAAAAAAAACGCGACCTGCGTGAATTTACGTACAAGACACGTTTTACCAACGCCAGCATTACCAACAAGCACCACTTTAAATAAATATTTATAGTCTTCCATCCCACATTGAAACAATACCGCCTAAGTTCAAATATTATTAAACTGCTTCTTTACTATTGCAAATAATTCTCTCAATTAATTGGCCCAGTTATTTCGATTTCTTCCTCTCTGCTTTCGTTCTTTCCTTCTTCTAAAAAAAAAAAAGAAAAAGAAAAAACGCTGCATTTATTTGAAAATACATTTTAAATAAAATTGCCATGTTTCACACTAATTTTCATGACAAAATACTGGGTAACAAGCATATATACTTTATGCATCAAAAAAGAAAACTGAAAAACAGTTTAAAGTATAATTTTTGTATATGCAAAGAAACATGGAAAAAACTGTTCTCGAAAAAATTCAAACACTTAAAAGAAGTGATACATTTCCGGAAAAAAAAAAAAAAAAAAACAAATACATTCACTATAAAAATCTACCGGAACCTAACAAATGCCATCACGCAGAAACGGAGAAGAGAACAGAGAAGTAGTATATCCTGTCACACAGCAAAACGACGAATACCAAAATGATAGATTTGTTTCCATTTGAATTGGACACTGTGCAATTCTTCGGAATTCCTGGTCAATTTTCCAGATTCATTCTTAGTTTTCTTTCCGGATCTTTTGTTTTTTCTTTCCAGAACTGTTCCGTTTTCGGCTATTTGGATCATTTGTTTTTTGAACTAGGAAAAAAAAAACCGGATACTATCTTTAGAGTAAAGTTAAAAATCATAGTGCTTAATGAGAATTTATTTTGGCAGAATGATTTTTGTTATTTTATCCTCAGTTTAATTAATAATATTAGTATGAAAGATGTATAATGCTTAAGAATACAAATTAGCATTTTATTTGAAGGAAAAAGAGAAAAATAAAGTTTAGTATTGCAATAGCACTTGTAAATGTTTACTACTGGTTGATTGAGTAGTTACCTATATTTTAAAAGTAAGTTTTTTTGTTTTTTGTAATCTTTGAGAAAATTGTCGGACAGAGTTCAGTCAAAATTTATTTTTTATCATCAAATACAATCAGAAATAATTGTTGTATTATCAAATATTGTTCGTACTGTCCGGAAGCGATTAGTTTAATGCTTTTTTTGTTAATTAGTAAATTGTATATATGTATGTGTGTGTGTGTTTGTGTGTATGTGTATGTGTGTGTGTGTGTGTGTGTGTATGTGTATGTGTGTGTGTATGTTTGAATACTTCTGAAATGGAATTTAAATTTTCGAAAAATTATGCACATGGATGGTGATCAAGTTGAGTTTAATCTTTAATTTATTTTTCAATAAGAGCCAATTAGCTAACTGAGCAAAAAAAAAAAAAACAAGCAAACAAACAAATAATTGTTTTTTTTGAATTTTTTTTGAAAACAAATAATTGTTGAATTGTTTTTTTTTTTTGCAGTTTGTTTAAAAAAAAAAAATTATTTTAAATCAAAAATTGAATTTGATTCATCGAAATAAATTGATTAATAATAGATGAAAAATAAGAAAGTATCGATCTATAAGAAAAAAACAAAACTTTATGTATTTGTAAAATTTATTCTACAGCAACTGATACATTTCCATTTTTTTTATTTTTTTTCAACTTTCATTGACATCTTGTAACATTGCCCAAGGATTCTGAATGACAAATTTTAGTGTTAACAAAAAAAAAAAAAAAAAAAAAAGAAAGACATTTGCGAAGAAATTTTTCTTTCATATTCCAAAATAAATAAATTCATCTCATAGTTTCAATAATTTACACTTATTTAAATATTCACAAATATTTAAAATGTTTTCACGTTTTATTTCATATGTACGTCATTCAGAAATAAATGTTACGTTTCTATGAATCTTTTCATTATTTCTATCTATTCACGTAGATTAAATTCCAATGTATCTTTTACAATTAAATTCATAAGTGATTAACTGTAAATGATACGAATAATCAGTTGACATATGATCATAATCAGTTGATATATCAGAAATAAAGTAAGAATTTATTGACTTAATTTTTTTTTTTTTTTTTGGATTGATTTGATTCTCTTAATTTTTCACTTTATAAAAAATAATTTGCACATTGTGAAACATAAGAAGATTTTATAAAAATATAACATTCTGAGGGATGAATACTTCCATTTCTTTTATTCATTTTAACAAAATATAAATATTGTTACGCATAAAAATAACAAATATGAAAAAATTAGAATAAGAAAAAAAAAAAAAACAAAACGAACGAATACGTTGAAATTGTGCAAGAAATTATGGGATAATTTCTTGACTGAAACAAAATTATGCAAATATAGCATAAATACGTGAATGTATAACTTCTTCTCACCCCTTTCTTCCCTATTATTAAGCTATTTAAAAAAGAAAAAAATGAAACTATATGTTCTATAAAATTATATTTCAATATTAGATAGAACTTTAGATTAATTTAGAATTAATTTAATTTAATAAAAAGTAATTCATTTAGGGATTAGTTAACTGAATGACCGTCCATTGTTGGACAATGGAGGAATATTTCTCTTTTTTTTTTTTTTTTTGTTTTTTTTACATATACCAAAAAAGGATAAAAAAAAAAAAGCTAAATATTCAAGCGTTTATACTTGTCGAATAATTTTAGTTAGTCAAAAAAATTATTCCCTCTTGAGAATATGTGCTTTTCACTTTCTTTCTTTCATTTTTAAAATCTCGCAAACTTCAATTATTAGTTGAAGTATTGTTGTTGAAAAGTAACTCTGAAATATTTTTCGTATATTTCCTCAGCGCTTTTTTTTTTTTTTTTTTTGGGGTTTTAATCATTTCATGTACCAAATACTTACGTTAACTTACGTTACGTGATGTTAAAAGGAAAGCACTATCAGCTTTTTTTTGGGGTTTCAATCATTTCATGTACTAAATACTTACGTTAACTTACGTTACGTGATGTTAAAAGGAAAGCACTATCAGCTTTTTTTTGGGGTTTCAATCATTTCATGTACTAAATACTTACGTTAACTTACGTTACGTGATGTTAAAAGGAAAGCACTATCAGCTTTTTTTTGGGGTTTCAATCATTTCATGTACTAAATACTTACGTTAACTTACGTTACGTGATGTTAAAAGGAAAGCACTATCCTTCGCTTTGCTCTTTTTCAAATATCACAATAATATGTATCTTTAAATTGCTTTATGCCTTTTTTTTTAATATGAAATTTCATTTTTTTTTTTTTTTTTTCATTTCATATCAACTGATTACGATCTATTGAATTTTTAATGTTTTATCTCCTTTTTTTTTTTTTAACCAACTTTTTTTTTTTTTACCATTCAAAAACTATCAATGATTTCTTGAATTTTCCTGACTTCACGCAGAATTTTTTTTTTTTTTACATAAGAAGTCGAGAATTAATTAAATTGAATGGAAAAAAAAAACCATTTGAAGCGAAAAAAAAATCAGACAAAATTAAAAATAAGTTTTGAATTCTATCGAAAGCTAAATGGAATTTTATTCTTTACTAGTTATTTGCTGTAAAAATTACGTTTTTGATAGGAAAAAAGTTGAAAATTCATTTTTTTTTTCACCAAAAATAATCTAAAATTATAGACACTAATGACACAATATAGCAGTATGTACCGGTTCAATTCATTAGAACAATCACAAGAGACATCAAACATCATTGGATTGTGCGCCTGGTCCAAGCACAGTTCAATAATGAGTTCCTTGTGTAGATGTTTCTCGAGACCTGCCGATCCCGAGCTACTGCCAGCTACATTATCGACAACATATACACCAGTAGATCCGGGTCAGGATGACGTGGATGACGTGAAGGATGTTGTCGGCGACAATGAAAAGACAGTAAACAAGCAATTTGCATCTGAGCCTGATTTCAGACGATTTTGTCACCATAAAGATCAAAGTAAGCCATTTAAAAAAAAAAAAACGATAAAAAAAAAAAGATGTAGCTAAGAAAGAGAGAGAATAGGAGAGAAAAGGAGAGATTTTGATTTCCATATCATTTCTTTTCCATTACATTTCATTTGTGAAACGATGTCTAATCGGGAAAAATCTCGAAAAATCTCGAGATTTTTGGTGTTTAATGGAAAACCATACCGTTAACAAATTTAAATTTCAATTGTTTGACAAAAAAATGATTCATTCATTTTTTTTTTTTTTTAATTTAAAAGCAAGCTAATTAATTGTAGAATGCTTATCATTCGCTAGTCTAATACTTTTGATGTAGGAAATTTAAAACTTTTCTTTGGTAATTTTTGATAAGTGAAAAAAGTTCACGTAAATTATAAGTATTAAAAAACATTAAAACGTTTCCATTAGTTCTTCTTTCATCTTAATGATCAGCCAGAAATGCTTTCAGACGTAATTTCTATTTTTTCTCATTTCATTTACAACTATTTCCACGAATGACGTCACATGCAACAAAATTCTTTTATTTTAACTTCCAGTACAACAGAATCAGGATAATTTATCAATTTGAGAATTTCCTTCCAAAAAATTAATACCCTCTCTCTCTCCCTCTCTCTCCCTCTATCCGTTTATCTCTCTGGAGAGAAGATCATTTCGAGATGCAGTAGAAACGGCAATTTGCCATCAAATGCCTCATAAATTTGCATAACACAAGGACTTAGTTCTGTTCCCTTTGAAACGATATCACTTTTTACTATGACATCACAAATTCGATTTGTTATTTCAAATAATTCTCAACCGGAAGTAGCCTTTTCGTGACTTATAATGCATTGAGCGAAAAAAAACTATAACGATTTTTTGTTACAATTTTATTCTTTTTACCCTTTAATCCGATTTTTCTTATTAAGTATAAGTTTATAGTTCTATTAATTTTCAGTTCCATATTATCACTATGTTTTTTTTTTTTTTATTACAGATTAAAATTTGAAATTTTGGGAATTTTTCAAAAATTCTAAACTGAAATTGTTATTGTAATCTTCTTCTAAAACACCGCTTTATTTAGTGCTACTGCTATCGTTCTAATATAAGTTTTTTTCAAATTAATACAGCATTTATTAAAAATAATAGAATAAATAAATTTCTATTTGTTTAATAAAAAAAGTATTTAAAAAAAAAAAAAGTTTAATAGAAAAGATATCATTTTGCCTAATATGGTACCTAATATAGTACATATTTACTCAAGGAACCTTGTCATGATTATTTTTATTGGTTCGTAAATGTCTTCGAAGTATTGCAACCTTAAATTAAATTAAATTATGATAAGTAATTATAAAATTGTTACGCAAAGACACTAAGGAAAATGTGTTTGTGTCATTGCAAAAAATGATAAAAGCATTAGAGCAAATTGCTAAATCTAATATTAATGTAACCGTAAATATGGGCAGGTAACAATGAAGCTAATTGAATACGTGATGTAAACGTATGTAAACGTATCTCCGTCATTGCAATTGCAACTAATGACGGAAACACTTAGCTTTCTGCTAATGTTCAATGATAATCACATAATTATGATAAAGCTATGAAAATATGATTGAAATTGATAAGTTAGCAAAGAATTCGATGAGTAACATTGAAATATTTGCTAAATTTACTAATAATTTTTTCAATAATTTTCATTAATGAAATGAAAATGGATGTAAACATTTAAAATTTACTTGGATAACAGATATTTGAAGGTATATTTCACTTTAGAATAACTGCATAAAAAATCAAAAAATTGAAAATTTATTGTTCTGTCTAGAATTTAAAACAATTTTTTTTTTTTTTGGTTAATGATAATTGAAATTAACGAAAATGAAATATTATTTGTTAATAATAACATAGATAACAGGAAATAAGTACACGTTTTTTAATTGATTTCAGAGTAGTCATCGTCTGTTTTGATCATTTCAATGTTCTTACAAACTGAGCCACCATATAAAAGAGAGAGAGAGAGAGAGAGATCAAATAATATGAGGGGAAAAAAAAGAGAAAAATTAATAGGCCAATTTTTAGAAGAAAAAAAAAAGGCAAGCATTCTCGATTCGATAAAAAAAAATTAAAATTAAAACATCAAAAGAATAATTTCACAGAAATTAATGTATTTTAGCGAAAGAAAAGAGAATTTAAAAATAAATCCAGTGAATAACTGAAATTGAATATTCAATTTAAATTGATGATAAATTCAATATTCAATTTAAATTGATGTCAGCATCCGAAACATTTTTTTCTCGATTATTTAAACATTATTTATGAATTAATTTTGAATCGTTTACTTGCCTATGAACTCCTGAATAAATAAATTTGTACAAATTTACAAGTATTATTTATTAATTCAAAATTGCTATCATTGAAAAAAAAAAAAAAAATGCTTACATTTAAAATTTGTTCCATATTTTCTCTCTCATTTCAAAAATTTAAAAATTTTAGATTATAACCATAGGATAATTTCTCAAAAATAAACTCCTATTATTACATTTCATGCCACTTATACAACAGTATTTGTAGATATTTCCTAAAACGTACAATCAGCAATTTTCAAAGAGTTTTAGATTAAAATTTTAACTGAAATATTCGAAATCTATCCAATCGTGCTGTAAATATTCATTGTCATAAATTTAGATTATATTATTGGAAAAAATTTTTGAAATTTTATTAAAAAAAAAAAAAGAAAGGAAAGAGAATTCAAAATAAATCCAATGAATAACTGAAGTTTTTGTTCAATATTCAATTTAAATTGATGATATAAATTAGCATCCGAAACATTTTTTTTTAATAAAATTTCATATAACAATTATAAAAGGTTTTTTCAACAACTTTGTTTTATTTCCATCTTTAATCCTTCTATTAATTTGTTTGTAAGTTTTTTTTTTTGTAGTGTTTATAATGCATCGACCAAGACGAAGTTTTGAAATGGTACTGCAAGAAGTATGTGTGCAACATCATTCGGTGGACACAATGCGAAATTCTCATCTTACCGAAGTGGTAAGTAAAAGTATCTTTGAAATGTGAATTTAAAAAAGACAATGAAAACGTTTTCAGATCGAGAAATTTCTTGTAAATAGCAAATGGCTAAGTTTAAATTTTTTTTTTTAAATTATAGTAAAAGTATGAGAACTTTGCAAGATAGTTTAATTTAGATTTTATATAAGTTAAATATTATATTTCCATCAAAATGTTTTTTTTTTTTTTTTTTAATGTTTGAGTAGTATGCATCCGTTTATAAATTTATATCCATCATTACCAGAAATATTAGATGAACACGAAAGAGAAGTCAAAAATGAATACAACTATCTTTTATTACTTTGAAATGAACAATTTTTTTTTTTTAGGAAAAAACTAGCTGTGCAAAAATTTGATAATTTTATAATTTCGATGTTTATTTATTCTCAGAAAATTTCAACCAAGTATTTATGCCTCAATTTTGAATACAAATTAAACTTCATTTAAAAAAAATTCTGCTTGTTAAAATTTTCAGATGTCACCGACCGAATATGAAATTGTCTATTGCAATAACAATAATGATAATAACAATAATAATAATAACAATAATAATGGTTTTTTGTCAACAGTAAAAACGATTATTCACGATGCCTCGATTAAATCACCTTCAATTTTGATAAAAATACCGGAAAATTTTCAAAATCAAAATGTTGAGCGTTTTTTTTTATAATTTTTCCTTCGTTAACGCTAGTTGCTATTTCGATTTTCATTCAGTGAATGCCGATTAGATTGATTTAAAAAAGAAAAAGTTTGAGAAATTTAAAAAACATGCAGAATTATTTGAAGCATTTGAATTTATATCGAATTAATTCTTTATTTTGTTTTTGTTTATTTGCATTGAAGTTTATCGTTTGTAGCATAAATTACAGTACATTTTCTGGTTTTGAAATTAAAAAACAGATTTTTTAGCTTTTATCAGAGTGTATATTGAAATGATTAAATTTTATTTACGTTCAATTCATCTCGATGGTCTCATAACGTTCTTATCACTGCTTATCATTTCTGATATGAAATATTGCTTAACATAATAGTAGCAGCAATTTTTAATTTTAATGTATTTTGTGGAAGAAAAATTATTTGCTGTAGAATGCAGAAATTATTTTTTCATGCATTCAGAGCAAATTTTGAAATGAAATAAAGAATTTGTAGATTTTCTGTTTGAGCAATGCCATACTGTAATTACGTTGAATTTATTAATTAGTAAAATTTGTGAAAAGTACAACAGATAATTAAGTGTGCAATAGTTTCAAATTATTGATAAAATTCAATTGATTAGATTGATTTTGAATATTAATGTGAAAAATGATATTAAATACTATGTTATATGAATAAAATTCAAGTTATTAAGAATAATTAGAAAAAAAAAATGCAATTAAAAACATTAAATGTTTAGCATTTGAAAGTTTAAATTTCAAAAATTAGCATCGAACAGCATCTTATGTTCCAAAAATAAAATAAAACATCATTTTGCATATTACAATTCGAATTTTGAAAATGAAAATTTTGAAAAAATTTTGAAAATGTCTTAAAATTATAATTTCACAAAGTTTTATCAGTTGAATTGTGCGCCGAAGTGGAAATTATGAAAATAATAAAACAATTCATAAATTTTCTGATATATAATTTTTTTGAATATACTAAATATTTTAAATTTAAAGTTTCAACACTTCAATACTTTGTTCTTCCCATATATTGCCATTCAAAAAATGAGCAAATTTTCTTTTTCTTTTGTTTTAAAAAAGAAAAGGAGAAAAAAGAAATCAAACAAGTGATTTGTTAACATTGTTTGCTATGTTATACAGTTTTGGAATTAAAATTTAAAAAAAAAAAAAACAACTTGAAGATATTTTGCAGAAAATTTTTGTGCCGTATGATTTAAATTGTAAATATTAATCCTTTATCATAATTATAAATGAACATATACCTCCCTCTTTCTCGAATGTGAAACATTTATCATCTAAAATTTACTTTTACAAAAACGTCTAATCTAATTTACTATCCTCGGAAAACTATCGATAAATTATGCCAGTGTGTAAAATATAACAAATAATCTGAAAGAGTACGAGTATTAAAAAGACGACAATATTATCGAATCATACAGCAATTTAAGGAACCAGTTCTTCATGTTTAGAAAATGAGAGCAAGCTAACAAATTTTTAGGAAACCTTAGCAATGCAAATATCACATATTTAATTCTAACTTATTTACACTTCACTAAAAAGACAAAGGTAAGCTAATCACAGAACAAAAATACCAATCTAAGCAATGATAATAATGAAACTAAAATTAAGCACAAATAACAATAAGCTTCCACTATGGAATGCATAATCCCAATGAGAGAGCCCCTACAAAATGTCTGTATGTAAATTAAAAAGAAATCCACTAGTAATCCATTTTGCTTGTTTCTCACTCTCGATGGACCTGCTAATTCATTCTATGCCATTTTGGATGTCACCACCATATTTTGTTCTTCCTTCAGTGCTGACTGAAAGTTTCACTACTCAAAAAGATAAAAAAAATATGATAAAAGTAACAATTATCACTTTTATACAGCAATATTTATGATTATCATCATTGATTCTCGCTCATTTCTTAGAATTATTATTAAAAAAAAAAAAAGTATAAATAATATGAGTAATAAGACTAAAACTTTATACCTCAGCATAAGATACTGGAGGTGAAAATGCACTGTTTGGTGATGGAAACAAAGGTTCACCAATTGACATCATCATTGGCACTGGATTCGAAGTTAACTGATACGAGACTTGTGATGACTGTGAGTCCATAATTGGAGGCTGTTGTAATTGTTGTTGAGCATACAATAAATGAGGTGGCGCTACCTGAACAGATAAATATTTTAGTGGTAAAAATGAAATTGTCAAAATAAAGTTAATTTTACATAAACTTACTTATGAATATGCTTACATAAATAAATTTGCTTACAACTAATTTCACATAAACAATGCAAATAAAAGTATAACTGATAAGAAAAGCACAAACTCGATATAGTTCCATTGATGACGTAGCAAACTGCGTCTCATCATTCACTTTAGTCACTCCGGAAGGATCGTAACGATAATCAGTATTGTCCATGACGAGAATCATATTCTTTAACGATTCCGGGATTGATTCTGATAAAAGTTCACTACGATCCGCATGAAGATACTGATTCATATAATCTAGCAAACGTAACCATAACGATCGGAATGATGGCAACAAACTCAAAGGCCTAAAAAAAAAAAATTTTTAACCTTAATTTGGCGACATAAAAACATTTAATAGCCTTTTTACGGTAGTGAAAATGAACTTAGTTTTGGTTAACTACAACACTAACATTGCCCTAACTTTAAATCAGATTGGTGAAAAAGATTCTGATCCATCTTATCCAAGAATATTTTGCTGATGTTAGCTTTCAAATCCAAAAAGATACGATAAATTTTAATCAGATTTTAAGGTAAAAATTTAAACCAACGTTAAATGATTGAGCAGAATTTTTGAGATAAGTTGCATAACTCGTACTCTTGTCTCCTCCATTCCAATCGGATCCATTGGTGATAAATTTTCGAGCAACTTTTGTAGCAGAGGGAAAAGTATCTCACCAAAACATTCTTCCCATTGTTTACCTTTCATCACTTGCATTTCCGGTTCTGCATTTCCGGTATTAGAAAGGCTCGCTATAAAAATTTGATGAGTTTGTGCTTAAAATTTGTACAATTAAAATACAAAAGGCTTACCATAAGGAAATTAAGCGTTTGTGTTCGTACTTGTCGCAATGGTTTTTAGTTTCTAGTTTAAATTACAAAAAAAATCTTACAAATTGTAAGATTTTCAAAAAATTCAAAATTTAAATTTTTATTAAAAATTAATTTTAATTGTGAAAATAAATTGGAGCCATGAGCAATTAAAAATTTTATTAATTTCGCTACTGAAACATTGTTAAAAACTTTAATAATTAAGTTTTTTTTTTTTTTAAAGTTTATTTTATTATTATTACTGTGAAGTCAAACAATTTTTCATCAAGTCAACATCGATCAATTTTTTATTAAATTCTTGGTTATTTCCACATATGCATAGTAATTACTTCAGATAAGCATTCAAAATTATCAGCTAATGACTTCTTTTGCACAACAATGGAAATTTTGAAAACATAATAATCACTAATTTTTATTTCTACAAGGAACGAATAATGGACAAGGAAGAACGAAAATGAGAAAGAGAGAGAGAGAGAGTAAACAATTAATAATTAAAATGAAAATAAGATAATAACATGAAGAAAAAGACTTAATATTTAATTGCATTAAATTTAAAAATAAATATTTACTAATATTTAATCATTTAAAAAATTCAAATGTTTAAGAAAATATCAGGTTAACATAATTTGATTTGGTATAATATCATAAATGAATGAGAAATTAATTTATGTGAAAAAATTAAAATTTTGAAAGTTGCATGAATTCATTTTCTTGGCAAATTCAATGTATGAATTGCTATTACCTATTTTATCTTCGCTTTTTTTTTTTTTTTTACTAAAAGAAAGAATTAAAAGTTATATTACTTACTAATATGTTATTAATAGTTTTATTTTTAATAAAATATAAACAATAAACAATACCTTTCTCAATAATTAATAATCACATCAAAATATTGCAACTTAGCTTTAAATGTTAGCAAATAAAATTTTTCAATTAAGGAAAAATATTCTCGTTAATAGGAAAAACATAAAATGTAATTAACAGGTAGGAGAATGTGAAAAACGATTTTTACATATTTCAGTGGTGGATTTTTCGGATAGTATTCCCAGTGTACAGCCAACATCAAATACCTAAAATATAATATTATTTTGAGTTTTTAAAGTTTTAAATTCAGTTTATTAATTTAATTTTGTTTACACCACATATTTGAATGCAGTATAGTTTAAGTTTTGCTTTCGCACCGATCTAAATTAATTCGATTAAATTCAAATTCAATCTGATGTACAATTTAACACCGTGCTATTAATTACACCAATTCAAAGAGTCCAAATATTATCTGATAAATATAATACTATCTGAAAAATATTATCTGATAAAATATTATCTCATTTGCATTTATACTCAAATAGTACCGATTAAATTGTAAAACGATTAAAAAAAAAAAGTAATAATTGAAAATAAATTGTAAACACAGATTTGAAATAAAATTTTTTCGTCTTTTATCTTTTTTTGCATTTCGTTTCCTGATATTCATCATTTATATATTTGCTCCATTTTTACTCTTCTTTAATCATTTTAAGGTCAACTTCTATCTTTACCTTTACAACCCTTATCTGACTAAATTATCATTATACTTTTTTTAGGTTCGCATATTTCTGGCTAAGTGATAACTAATAGACATTGAAGAAATATATTTTATATAAGATAGTTAAAGCTAAAAAAGTAGCCATGCAGAATGGAATAACTCTTTCATATAATAAAACTTCTAGTTTTACTCCATTCATAAATTATTTAAAAAAATAAATCAATCAATCAATCAAATGACCATATAAGATAAACAAAATTTTAAAAATTTAAAAATAAAAAAAAAAAAATTGGAAAAACGAAGTAACAAACTTGTTTGACAATATTATTAGCTTCAGTTTGTGTTTTATTCATCAATGTTAGATGTGTTTTTAAAAGTCGAACATTCCATGCAAAATTTTCCACTGCTCGATTAGCTTTTGCGCCGTGTAATCCGGCATTTACGCATAGTTGTGATAATTCAGTGTTACATTCGGTGATACGTTTCGTTGCCGTTTCTAACTAAAAAAATATTTTACTATTTAATAACTAAAATTTATTATTCATTCTTATTTCAAGCAAATGAATAAAATTTATATCATTACAGTACTTTCCAATATGATTAATAAGTTAAAAAGGTACATATAATAATAATGATTTCAATTTATAAATTTCTCTATGCTTTTTTAATTCTTAAACAAACCTTTGTCAACAATGGATCAGTATTAACTAGTATTTTTGCACAAATATCCAAAAGTTCAGACATTGAATCGAATGTTTTCTGCAGCTCTGCAGGAAATATACCTCGTGTTACGATTATCGGATACTGTAATATTAATTGTTGGATACTGTAATATTAATTATGGGATACTGTAATGCTGATTATCGTATGTACGGCTGAATTTTTAAATGCTGTTGTTTTATTAGAAACAAATTGCATATTTGCAAAAAAAAAAAAATACAGATAAGTCACTTTAAAACAGTAAAAATAAAACAAACATCAGTAAAAATAAAATATTTGAAACGTCATATCATACTGTGTCAACTTGTTGTAGATTTGTATGCAGTTTCATCCCAGAACATTTTATTTCTTTACTTTTAAATATTTAGAAGAGAACTGATTATTATAATTTATCTAGTCATAAATGATTGTAGCGAATTTCTAACATAATTTTTTCTCTAGATGAAGGAAGTAAAAATTGCTGGTGTATTTATCCAAAGTTTATTTTTATCACTTACAAAGACAACTTCCGTTAAATATGTGCTCGTTTAATTCAATTCAAAATTTTAAATTCCATATTTTTTGTAAAAACTTGAAAACTTTCAAATTTATGTTCATTTAAAACATATTTGCTTAAAAAGTTATTTAAATACGATTAAATCAACTATGAATTTTTGCTAGTGAAAACCTAAATTAAGCATTAAATAAATTTTAGTCCGATTGAAATCATAAATTTTAGATTCAAATTGTTGTTCAACTTATTACGTAATTGATGATTTCATTGAATTTTGCATAATTTATACATTTATAAATGTCAAACATAATTTTATTTCTTGTCAAGTTACAATAGCTTACTAATTAATTAATGTTTAAACTAATTAAAGAACTACTTGTTACTATCTGAATTACCAAATTTTTTCAAATTGAAGTTTTCAAACTATTTTGAATTGAGTAACGTACAGTTTTCTCATCGCTGCAAATTGCAAAACTTGGCGCATACTCCACAAATTCGGTCGGATCATCAGATCTGTGCGGTGAATGTGGAGGTGATACTATAATGCATTATTGGTAATCTTGTATTAAATTAATTTCTTAATTAATAGGTTTACTTTTAAAATGCTCAAAATACTTGAGCTATCCAATCACACTACTAATACACTTTTTGATTGATTGAAAAAACAAATAAACAAATGTGAAAAAATTAATTCTCGTCCATCATTAAATTATTATTCCATTTATTTTTCATGCTGCTGATAAATAATTGCAAAACAATTATTTTTTTTTTCTGAATAATTAGTAATCGAGAAACAATTGTTTTTTTTTCTGAATAATTAGTTTTTTTTTTTTCATTTCAAAAATTTTTTGCACAAATTTAGCAAATACACTAATTGAAATATTAAATTTACCATATTTTTAACATAGTTTATTACCTAATTTTTGAAATAATACCTTTAAAATAAAATGAAACTTAAAAAAAAATTATACTAACAAACCATTCATTGCAGCAGTTTTCGTCCTCGTTAACATAAGTCGTAAACCTTGTCGTATAGTACCAGCCGGTCCAACACCACAATCGTTTCGCCACTTAACCTACAATTTACTAACTTCATTAAAATTTAATTTTTCAAATCAAATAATCAAACAAAATTTTAAAATTATTTCAAATAATGAAATAAGTTCAAAATTTCAGCCGCGCAATTGCACTCATTTGTATCCTTATTCATTATCATTCTTTCCCCCCCCCCCCCCCCGCTTTGTCGAGATAAACTAAACAAACCAATGAAGATTCGAGTATGTTACGCATTTCAATTGATACAGCTAATGGTGCAATCGCTTGCTTGAAATATTCATCCACCGATTTGATGCCAATCGATTTCACGCCCGTAACAATCCGTGTACTTTTGCGCTTCACTGACATTCCGCGCTTTCGTGCTTTCTAAAATTTGAAATGCTTCCGATTAAATTTTAAATAATTTTGAAATTATGCTTAATAACATTGTGCATTAACAAGAAAAGTTAAACAGAATATTGCATATGACTTTCTTTTTTGATTATTTTATTTTTTTTTAGGAAATTTCATAGCTAATTAAATAAAAATGAATAAAACAGAAACTATATTTTGCAAAAAAATCTAAACAAAACAAAATTTGGTAAAAAATCTCATCCATAATTTATAATATACGTATCAAAAATTACAATTAATTAATAGTGCACTTAGATTTTTTTTTTTTATTGATTCTAGAATTTATTAAATTTTATTAATAATAATAACCACAAAAATATGTAGCATTTAAAACTAAAATTATCACTTCTTCCTGAATATAATGATAATTTCATGATTTAAGCATTCTGATAATAACATGAAGTTATACAAGCTGTTGGTTACATTTATTTATAATATGATAATTGCTGATAACTCATAAAAGAAATTATATAGGAAACCTGAATAAGAATAATATATAATTCAAATTTTGTTTTGCTGGAAAAATAAATTAAAGTGAAAAGAGAGAAATAGAATGTTTTAAAATAGAATTTAAAAAGATTGGTTGGGAGTAACAGTCAATAAATGCTTGGAAATCAGAAATCATATTATATTGCAAAATAAAATCCATTTATATTATTTTGCAAAATAAAATCCATTCTCGACATTTATCTTTTGTTCAAAATAAGTGTTTAGTAGAACAGTAAATAATAATAATTATTAATAATAACGATAATAAATAAACAAATAATAATGGTAATAATAATGATAATTGTGCTGATAGTGATAATAATAAATAATGATAATAGTAATAATAATAATGAATAACAATAATAACAGTAATAATAATAATAATAATAATGATAATAATAAACAACAACAATACTAAATAACAGTATTCTCTACTATTAGCGCAACAATACATAAATAATAGTGGTCCTCTGACCTTGTTCCTCTGTCTTTAAAAAATAAAAAGGAAAATTTTTGGCAGAAGAAAAATGGAAGAAAAACACAGAAAAGTTTGTTCCTTACTTCCTTAAAAATAAAAGAAAAAAAAAAAATGAAAAAAGGCTTGTTCCTCTTTAGAACTTCATTATCAAAACAATGTAAAGATTTCTAAGGAATATGAACTAGCTAGTAATCCCCTTGAGATGATTAAAATTTACTATCTTGCAAATTAGTTTTTCTCTTCACTTCCATTTTAACGATATTTGTTTTATTCAATAAAAAAAAAATCTAAAAATAAAAGTAAACAACAATTTCAAAAAAAAAAAAACTCTTCACACTTCAATAGTAATAATATTTCATTTTTTCTTTTTTATTTGAATCGATTCCATACGAATATAAATTCATATTTATTAAAACTAAAAATCTAACAATGCTTACACTTATAACTAATTTATATTTACTCTGAAAATTTAATTAAAAAGAAGCAATAACAATAATTTTTCAACTAATTATATAAGTACCTAGCATAATAATATCACAAAAATTTGTTTTAAATAATATATCTAATTTGCATACTTCTTAATTAGAGACTTTACAACAAAAAGTTTCTTTTATCTCAATTATACCGGTGTTACAGCTAAATTAAGCAAAAGAAATGAGAAATGCAAAACTCTTTATCAGAATCATTGTAATAATATGCAAATTCCAATGACAATTGTAGCAGTCGAATAATACCGAATGGATGGATTATTACAGCTTAATTATCTTAGCTAATATAATGAAATTTGTTAATTAAAAAAGTAGTAAAAGCAAAATTTTAAATTATTAAAAGATACAACAATTTATAACTGATTAATCAATATTTTCGATAGAGTATGACTATTGATTTGGATCAAAATTATTGTTGATTAAAGATAAACAAGAATCTGTGCTCATTTTAACATTATTTACATTTGCATAACATGCAGCAAAAATTTCTTAACTGCATGTCACTAACTTTTCCTGCAATCTTGCAAATGCATGTTACAATTTTGTTCCTCATTCACTTACCACCTGTTTTCGTTTCGTTTCATTTTCTCATTCTCATAATTACTTGTCACCACCACTTTACATCACTTACTGCTAAACTTTAGATAAAATATTTTGCCATAGTAACTCTTTGTATTTCATATTTTAATTTTACCACTAAAAGTTATAGTAATTAACAAGTTTTACTAATTAGCGCTGTTAGCAATTATAATTTCATAAATTGAAGAATATATTCTTAAGCATTCATATTTGCTCAATTATTGTAATGTAAAAATTGTATATTAAGAAATTCTTTGTGTAAAAGGAAATGAAAACGGAAAAACTGATTTCATATGTTTCCTCAATTTTTCTTCATCTTTTTTCTATAAAACAAAAGTTATGATAGAAATTTTTGAAAAAAAAAAAAGATTTTGATGCTCTTGACGTCATAGAGAGAGGAAAAAGAAACAACGAAAATAGAAAAGTAAAAAAAAAAAAAAAAAACAAAGAAAAAAGTTGAAATAAGAAAAAATTTCTCAGTCATTTTATTTTGTCCTAAATCAAATCGCTTTGCCATCCATCCATTTATATTCTTTTCAATCTCTTTTATTTCTTGTTTGGCAGAAAAGAGCAAAAAAAAAAAAAGGGAAAGGATAGAAGTAAGTATGAAAATTAATTTCTAGTAAAATCTTATCCTCAGAAATTATAATAATAATAATATAAGTTGATTGCATTCATAATCATGAAATATAATCATAATTCGAGAGCATCATGCTGATGATCAAATATTTATAATTTTGAAAATTTCTTAATCAAATGTGGAAAAATTGAATTTTTATTGAATTTTTGAGATATTAATCAGTCTCGAATAACATTAATTGTATATCACTGCTAATATCTTTGACACCTGGATTTGATAATGCTCTAAAATTAGTTTTTTTTTTTTTAATGCTTATCCTATAAGTATCATTGTACTGTCGTGAAATTATAGATGAATCATACATCACATACTTCAAACTGATCTGTTTCATAATTTTATAATTAAAACTTAAATTACATTTAATTTTCTGATTTGAAATTATTAATTACCCCTCCACCATATCGATTTGTCACCGCGACATGCACGAAAAGTGTGCAATTTTCCAATACTTCGCCTTCGTTATTCAATAACGGTACATGACGATAGCCTAAAATTTAGGAAAAAAAAAAAAGAGAAAGAAAGAAAGAAAATGATTTCTAATTTTAAAAGTTGATAAAGACAAAATATGATAGATTTATGAATTAAAAAGAATGAAAAATTTTTGGAATCACTAATGGTTAAGTAAAATAACAAAGTTATTTAAGTTAATCAGAATGGATAAACATGAATAATTAAGTATTTTAGTTTAGTAAATTAATAAATAAATAAATAATTAAATTTAATTTTACACCAAAAAACACTGACTGAAGAAGTGAAGAATAGGTACTAAAAAACGAGAAAGTCATCATTTTAATTAAATTTAGGTATGTCAACAAAAATAGCACATATTTTTTCGCCTAAAATTGTCACCAAATTCTCTTTCAAAATGATCCTCTTTCATTCTCTTTCAAAATGAATCAAAATTATTGAAATTTAAAAGTAAACAAATTATGAAGTAAACAAATTGTAAATCATTGTGAACAAAGAAGAAAACAGTAGAGAAAAATTTTTTGAATCTTTCTTGGCATAATTTATGTGTTCATACAAATATTATCAAATTCTAAATTTACTTCCAAACAATTTTGGAAGGTGACAAATTAAACCTTCTGGTTATTTAGTTACTTTTTTTTTTCTCTTACATCTTCGAAAACTTAACGAAGTTTGAATGCTTACCATTTTTCAAACATTCAAAAGGTATGGTGTATTGTCCAATGAAATCATCATCAATGAAGTCATCATCGAGTACGAGAAATCTGACTAATGCCATTTCGGGTACAGTAATTTCAAATTGGAATGATTCATCAAATGCTGGATTAGCACCTGAATGATTTAAAGAAAAAAATTGATAGATGATTTGATGTAAAAAACAGTAACAGATTCTTGCAAGAGTTTATCATGATTTTTGTTAAATAAATTTTATAAATTTTTTTTTTCTCAATCTTTAGTCAATAATATCAATTAATTTAGTAAATAGTTTCAAAATTTCTCATTTTATAAAGCAAAAAAGGAAGAAGATGATATCGAATATATTTTGTTAAACTAACTTACCATCATTCTTCACAGTTCTCGTCCTTTCTTCGGTGCAATCAGTAGGGCAACCAAAAATTTCTACTACCACATAAGGATCAGTTGAATTACCTTTTGCTGTCGATCCGCGGGGTCGAGGAAGATGTTGACCAGATAAAATTCGTAAATATAAAATCTGAAAATTCCAATAAAATTGAAAAGAAAAGTTAAAAACATTTTTACTCTATTTTCACTTTCTGATAACAAATGTTGCTACGATGTACTTGTATTGTCATATTGTTTTATTGCTATAAAATAGTACACAACAATGAAACATTCCTCTTCTACTATTGACTTTTAGTTGTTTTATTCAATTAATATTACAAAAAAAAAAAAAGAAAAAAAAAACATTGAATTAAAAAAATAGATTTAAAGAAAAAAAAATCTTTTTTGGCATGTATGAATTTCGCTGTAAAATTTTTACATTTTCAAACTATTTTATTTATTTCTCAAAGATATCAGTGATAAACCTGTGGTGGAATCGGCATAATATCTCCAGGTGTATACACTTCTTCACGCATTATCGATGGTTTAAGAACATAACCGCATCCACCGTTTTCCGAGAATTTCCCTTGCTAAATAAATATTTATTAACCTTAATAACGATGTTATTATTTGCGTAGTAATCATTTACATAATGTTTTACTTATCGTTATTCATTAATGCTGTTTTATATATATAATTAAATATATATAATTGAAATATTTGCTTAACAAAGATTTAATTTTTAAAAAGATAAAAAGAAGCCTGTAAGTCCATCATAAGTCCCAATGTTTGATAATTTAATGATACCATTTGAATACCATAATTCCAGAATTCTTGTGGGTTCATATTTGATGAATCAATGCTAAGAAAATTAAATACTGCATTAATTATTAAATGCTTGAAGCAATTTTCGTTTTTTTGCAAGGATTAAAACCAAATATGATTTCCAAAAAAAGACAGTTGAAAATAAAGCAAAACTAATGAAATTTCTTTATAACAACCATTATAAAAGCGAATGACAATGATTTAATTAATTAATTTTTTTCTTGTGATTTGTGATCAGAATTGAAATATTCCAAATGCACTAATTAATTAATTAATAAAAATTTCACTTTAGCGAGAATTTTTTTCTTTTCGCCTGTACCATTTTCTTAAACTGAATTTTAGCATTGTTATTGCTTGGATAAAAGAAGTATTAATGAAAACAAGTTCAAAATATTATTGTATAAGATTATAAACTTACCGCGATGCATTTGGTGTTAAAAGCATCAGATGGTCTTTGGCAGTTCGAGCTAATTCTGATGGAAAATTTTGTATCATTTTATGACAGTTATGTTCAGATGATAATAAAAGATGACAATTTTTATTTGCTGCAAATAAATATTACTTATTATCTTAATATGTGATTTTAGTACAGCAATTACAGGTTAATAATTAGTGAAAAATAAATGCTAATAAATATATGGAAAAATAATGAAAATATATTTGCCGCATCATAATTTTTAAAGAAACAAGTTTAATAATATCAAATAATAACGAAATTAGCTCATACGGTGAGCTACCGTAATCGGGATGGAAGGCATACTGTAGGCACAGTATTCTTAGCTTATAATAAGCTTACGCATATCAGATGTATTGAGTGGAGTTTCTCTGAATACAGCTGGGATTGCCCATGGACACATTAAATCTGATAATTTACGACAAAAAAGCATTCGTTTAGGACTTTTCGACGCAGAATCAATCATTTCACCGGATTGCACCTCAAAATTCTCATTTTCTAATGTCACTTCACCAATATCACTCTCGACTCCCTCAAGTCGTTCACCCTGAGAATAATAATTAAAATTACAGTAGTAGAAAATTATACAGAAATATTTCTTTTTTCATCATTACAAATTAATCTGTTTGATTGTTCAAACTGAAATAAATACTTTAGAATTTTTGCTAATTTAAACATTGTCTAATACCAAGTTCAATTAAAATTCTCATTAAAATTTAATTATACAAGAAACAACTATTAGAGAAGAAAAATTTTCAAATCAAGAGTGATTTTTTTTTCTGTATTATTTATTTTCTTCTTTTATACTAAAATTTTTGGAAAATTTTCACAAAATATGAATTAAGCAACATACGATGAGAATAATTTTCATTTGGAAATCTTTTGGTGTTGGTCGTCGTTCTGTCCAATCAATTGGATCATTATTTGGTTGATATAATTTGTCTCCAAATGTATCATGAAACATATCGACAAGTATCATTTGCCATTCAACATTTAAATGTATTTCTAGTCGTACAAATAATGGATACCTGTAAAATATTGCATCATTTTTACTTAAATTTTACTGAATGAAGAAAAATTTAGCAAAAAATTGAGTGAATAAATTAAAAATGTGATTAAATATGAAATAAAATATAAAATTGCGAATAAAATATGCAAATTAAGAAATAAATTTATTCTACTTTTTTATGATTTATCTTGTGATTAAATTTAAAATTTGTTGAGCAGAACTGTGATAATTAATGAATGAAAACTTTATTCTTAATTTAATTATTAGATTTGTCGAGTAGAATAATTTTGATTAAGCTAACACTTTTAGCATCATTCTGATATAGAGTAATAACTTATTTGTTTTAATCATACAAATTATTACCTAGTCCTTTGAAAAGCCATTTCATTGATAACCTTCAGGACAGTTGATATGGTTAACTTGGAGGTACTACGACGATTATGAACCATCGGTTCTTTTTCATCAGTTCCTGCTATTGGTTCCCAAACATCTACTGCAATAATATAAGCAAAAATTTTTATCAATTAAACTAATTAGTTTACCGAAAAACTATAAAATAGCAATGCGAAGAACATGAATGTTACTTTATTTTGAAATAATAATATAATTGTTTAGTTTACCCTAAAATTAATTTTGAGGAGACAAATATTTTGATTGGAGAATATAAACAACCAGAAAAAGTGAATTTTTGAAAATTAACAATTAGAATTAGATAAAAGTTAGGTTAGGATTAGTAATTATCATTTTTTTTTTCTATGCTGTTAGTGAATGTTTGTCGTTGAATTTCAAAAATTTTTTTGATTAAAAAATTTCAAACATAGATGTGTATTAATAAAATCTTAATTGAACTGTAATTTTTTTAAAAACATTTAATATTGTTAAATATATAAATGATGCAAAACCTTCAATGAATCGACAATTACGACGAAGTGCTTCAATATAACCTTTACAATTTAATGGTTCTTTTAATTGATCATCAGTTAATGATGTATTAAATGACGTTGCAATGAAATAATTGCTAAATGGTTGATTCATTTTTTGGCATACAATTCGATGAGTGTTATCAAATAAGAAATTTTCATCACCGTGAAGATAATTTGTAAAACCTGCAAATTAAATTAAATTAATGGAAGGAAATGTTAAAAAAAAAATAATAATAATAAAATAAAAATTTCTATTATTTATTTTTTGATAAAAATTCGAAACAAATATTTTCTTTTTTACCTTTTTAATTTTTTTTTAAAAGTTTTCAAAAGCTTTTAACTAATTTGCACAAAAAAAAATTACCATCAATAGTCATATGATTAAGTTCACGTGCTTCTTTACTTGGCTCATATTGTTCAATAATTGATTGACAAATTTTCATTGTTATGCCTAAGAGCTAAAAATATAATTAATTTTTCATTTCAATGTTAAACTTTTAATTATTATATAATTAATTCAAGTTTATCTTGAATTAATTTCTTTTTTAAATGATAAGCAATAAATAAAACTCTCATTTTATAAAAATCAAAAAATACAATCGAAAATTTGTTGAATTAATTTTTTGTCTATTCTTCAAACTATAATATAAAGAAAAATGATTGATTTAAGTGCTATCTTAGCAGCGGTAGAAATTTTACTGCTAGCATTTTAAAAATTTTATAATTTTTTTTTTTTTTTACAAAATAAAATAAACAAAAATAACTGAAATTCAAATGTTGCAAAAAATAAATGAATTTCTGAAATTCAACTGCAAATATTTAAATAAAAATTTGTAAAAAAAAAAAAAAAAAAAAACCAACTCCTTGTTCTGTTTCTAGGAATACTTGAAGATCCTTACAACTTAAATAATCTTTATTAGCATATTGAACCATCAAGAAATATATTTCGGATCTTGTTGCAACAGCCTATAGCAAAATAGCAAAATCAAATGTTTCAAATTAAGGATTTAAAAAAATTAAAATTCAATCAATTTTTTTAATTATAAAAATTAACTAATGATTAATTTTTTTTTTTTTTTTTTTAAAATATTTATCTCAAATCCTATTGTTTTGTTAGCATATTCTCATGAAAGAAAAAGAATTATCTAAAAATTGAACTATAATTTTCTCAAGAACGGAATGATCAGAATAATAGCAATGATAGTTTTAAGATGTTTTAATAGTAATAACTGTAAATAACCTTATAAATTTCAACAAACTGCGAACGAGTAATTTTTCCGCGTTGCGATTCATCTGGATTTAATACACTTGCTTCCTGTAAACATATATATATAAGGGATTAACTAATTAATTAATTAATTAAATTTTTCCTTGTATTATAATAATTTAAAATAAATATTTTCAAAAGGAAAATTTACCTTAACTTCATGTTCAACTCGACAAAGTAATGTTCGTGGATTAAGTCGTTTAACTAGTTCTACCGTTTCTTTTTCTGATAAACAACCACATTTTTTGATATCTGCTTCATCAAATACTGATCCCAACCACCTGAATATGTAAACAAATAAATAGTGTAGAATAAATTAAATAATCAAGTAATTTTTCATGTGAATTGAAATTTCGTCCCTTTTTTTTTAATGAATTTTCCATTTTTATTTTTTACTTTTTTCTATACTTTGAAAAAAAGTTTCAAAATAAAATATTTTGTAATTGCTTACCTTTCACGAATAGTTGCAAGAGGTCGCGAACCTGATGGTTCTGATTCGCAAATGCCTGCAAAATTAAAACATAAAAAGCAATGCAGAATCTTTTTCATTCTCGAATTTTCTTTCAAACAACTAACTTCTAATATTATTTCTAAGTAATTAAAATTTAGGAGAAAATTTAACTTTCTAATTTCGACTTTTTTTTTTCATTTTCTGTGCAATGGTCTTCCTCTTTTTTTTTCTCGTCATACTAAGTAATAGAATGTAAACTGCCGTAAATTGAAATAATTCCGATATTAAGAAATATAGAAAGTCATTTACTTTAACTTATCAAATAATACTTATATATTACTTTACTTATTTCTGTTGACTAAATTCTTTCTAAGTTCATTTATTGATTTGTTTATTGTGTAAGGAAAAACTTTCAGAAATTTTTTTTTAATAATTATTAAATGTATCATCAAATGTAACTTATAACAAGTTATTTATACATTTCTTCATCTCATTTTTGCTTTTTCCTTCAATCATTTGATCACATTTTTATGTTTCTCAGCTATTTTTTTTTTTTTTTTTTTTTTTTACATAAATAATTCATCCATTTTTTTTCTGCAATACTTAAAATTCCGGCATTTTTTCAAAAATTTATAATTTTTTCTTTTATCTTTTCAGTTTTAATATTATATTATTTCTTTGATCTCACAGTTTTCTTTCTGTTATTATCATTATTTTTTATCATAATTCTTTTTTTTTTTTAAATACTATTTTTTTATTTTCTTTCAAAATATTACTAAAATATTATTTTCTATTTTTTTAAGTCTTTTCAAAATATTATTTTTCTAAATATCTTTTCTATGTATATACTCTTATAGAAAGTACTGTAACCTACCAACATGATTGGAAATAAGTGACATCAATCCGGTGATCCAAATTTTAGCAATTTCTGGTGTTTTAGCTATTAAATCTAGGCATTCGTACTGATCACCATGAATTATCGAGAATGCACATTGTTCCTGAAAAAAAAAAAAACGGAAATTTTTAAATTTTCGGTTTTTTTTTTTGTTTTTTTGGTTAACAAATGTAATAGAAATTATTTTAATTTCTCATTAATTTGCTAAAGATTTACAAAAAATGCGATCAAACTTTCCTAATTTAAATATTGTTGATTATTTTAATTAAAAAAAAAAAAGAATGGAGAAACTTTAAACATATTATGAACTTTCAATTGTTTGATAAACAAACGGAAGAATTTTTATCAGTAATGGAAGAGAATGAATACAATAATAAATATAATGTAAGTTAAGAAAAAAAATAGTTTTTAGCTACAAATATTAAAGATAAGCGTCGCTAACTTTTTGCTGTTGTTCAACCAAGGATGAAAATTTGCAAATTTATAGAATTTCTGTTAATATCAATGAATATTTGTGGTAAAATGATAACAATAGTAAAGTAACAATAGTGATAGTAATACTAATAATGGTAATAGTAATAATAGTGGTAGTGATGATAATGATAGTATTAATGATAATAATAGTGGCAATGATGATAATAGTAATAATAATGATAATAATGCCATTCTCTGTGATAATCTATAGTTCTACAGTACAATGTTTTTTTAATCATATTTTATCTTATCAACCTGCATGTCATTAGCATAAGTTTCTGTTGCGCGATGCAATTCGGTATTTCTTCCAATGCGTACTTCTTTGATACTTTCAATAGCTACTGAAATTCAGTGATGATTTTAAGGTTCGATCGGATAACTTAAATGCATTTATATTTAATGGAGCGGTAAAAATAATTATACAAATTGTGAGACAATCTATTCTCAACATTTCAATGACTGTGACCTTTGGCTTCTCAAATGAAGCTTAACACGTCTTCCAAATGAGCCAATTTTTATAGGCGGAATTGGCGCTTTGGAATAAATCAAATGTTGATTTATTATCTTCGTTTGTTTTTTTAAGTGATAAGAATTCTATTATCAACTTCTCGCGTTATTAGCATTATTGTTCATTTAAATATAATAAATAGAATAATATTCCTTCTCAATAATTAACTGTTAATCATTTTCAAAATTACTATTATCACTTTTGTATTCATTATTATTGAATTTGAAAGTTTGTCAATTTCCTAACTATTCCATCTCAATAATTAACTCTCAACTAAAATTTTTTTAACTATAATAAAGAAATCATAAATATTAACCTATAATAAATAATAAAGAAATAAAGAGGTTATAAATATCCATATTATTATTATCTTCTTTTATCAGTTAATTTAATGATTAAACAGCAAATGATTTGTTTGACATTAAATCTATTAATTTAATTCATTAATTTAAATCACTAAAATATATAATTATATGTTCTTGAATTGCTAATTTGATCATAATCATAAAAAAAAGCAAAGTGCAACTTTTAGCTTTATGAGGTTTTTTGTTGGTTGGCGTCCAATGTATGTGTGACAAATTTGAATCTAAAGCAAAAGTTCGACGAAATTGACGGATATTTGTTCGTAATTTGATGAATTCTGTTTCATTTTGCATCATTTGTATACAATCTGACACTAAAATTTTTTGTTTAAATATTTTTTTTTTTTTAAATTAAATTTTTTGCTAATAATATTTAAAAGATTAAATATATTTAGATTAGAATATTATATGCCAAATAGACTAAATGGTATTAAAGAAATACGTTCAGAATGCTCGTGAAGAAAGTGCGCGCCATCAAAAGGCGCAATTTGTTGAGATATGTAATAGAGATTTTATTAATTTCATTTGACGAATCTCACTAAATGATTCTTTACAATCATTTTTTGTAAATTTTTCCAAATCAAAAAAAAAAAAAAACATTGCTATGATTATTTGGGTAATAAAAATATGCGCAAAAATTCAAACCGATAATTTAGTCGGAAATACTGAATCAATTAAAACGGATTGCGCAATTTATTATTTAGTAATTTTTTTTCAAAAAGAAAAAAAAAATCGTCGCAAATGTTTCTCTTACCATTGCATATTTTCTTTTCATGTTTTTGCGTACTGAAACTAACAAATTTGGTTTGCGATGAACGATTTCGATTTTCGCGTTTCATTAGCGAACTTCGCAACGGCGACGATTTTCTGAAAATGAAAGATAAAAAAAAATTGAAACGTTCAAAAATGCTAATGAAAAATGAATATTTTGGCATGAAAAAAAAAAAAAAAAAAACACTTCTTAATGACTTACTAATCAAATTTGTTTTCTTTTTTTAATCATCTATTCTAAACTTAATTAATTAATAATTTCTAATTATTTTGAATAAAAGCATTTTTACGGACTTGTAAGTAACATTTCTATACAAAAAAATATTCAAATATATTTTCTTTAAAAACATCTTTAATAAAACTTTAATAAAATATCTGTTTTTTTTTTTTTTTTTTCATACATCAAAACAAAAATTGTCTTTTTTTTTTTTTTTTTAAATTTTATGCGTTATACAATTTTCAGTGATTCATATAATTTTCTTCTTGCATACAACTTTTATGCAATCTTTATATAACTTTTCTGACACGTCATTACTTCTTATATACGTCATATCCGTATGACGACGTGTAGTTCTCTATCATTAATCTCGAGTATTTTTTTTTTTTTTTTTAAATTTAATTGTTTAGAAAAAAGAGGAAATTCTTACCAACCAGACAAGTTAAAGTGAAAATTTTTATGAAATTTTATTATTATTTTAGTTTTTTTTTTTTTTCTCTTCAAATCTATTTAATAACAGAATAATTGTAATAGAAATTGTAATAGAATAATTGAATAATTGTAATAGAAATTGTAATAGAATAATTGAATAATTGTAATAGAAATTTCGACATTGTCTAAAAAATTTTTAGGATTTAAATTTTTGATAAAATTTTTAACCTTGAAAAATGTGATATTGCTGTCATGTTTTGTTCATCGGTCGATTTTGTATTGTTATTTTCTAGATTGCTTGCATTTACATTATGTTCTGATTCCATCTCCTGAACATTCATAATTTAAAAGATATCTTTTATTTTGAAATTTAAATTTAAATCTCAGAATAAATGCTATGTTGTAATGTGGAAAATAGCAAATCTGAAAAAGTTTATATGGTAATGTATGTGAAATTAATAATTTAAAGAATTTAAGTAATATTAATGATATTTATTAGAAATGATAATATTACGATTAAAATCAAATACTGAAGAATTTTAGAATTATAACTTACATATTACAATTTGAACGATTTTTTTTTTATCAATGTTATTAGTATTATTAATAATTTATCTAATCATGCTAATAACATTTATAAATCTTAAAATTTTTACTATACATTTTTTTTTTTTTTAAAATTTTAATATATCAGAAAATGATAATTACGAATGGATAATGTGCAAAATAAAAGTATTTGAAAATAATTTGAAATGAGGAAAACTTCCATTTGAAAGATTTGAAGATACTAATAATAAAAAAAAAAGACATAAAAGATTTGATGATAGAAAGTGCTCTAATTGGCTAATCGTGAATTTATTATCAGTGGGAAAATTACTAATTTTAGACTAAAGAATGAAATAAAAATTAGTTTCATTTAAACTCGTTTAAAACTGAAATTAATTTATTAAATTTTTCGTAGTTTTATTGCGAGACAATTTTCTTTTTTTCTATTTTATTGAATTTCATCAAAAAAAAATTTCATTCATTCATTCATTTCATTTGTTAATTCCAGTAGATATTTCAGTAAAATTTTCATTATTAGAATTTTACTAGAATTAATTTATAGGAATGAAATGAAAATTTATTATAAATGAAGTAGAATTTAATGACAATTAAATAAAATTGAATCGATTTCTGTGTTAGCATGTAAGACTAATTAAAAATAAAGAAAAACTATTTTTAGGTTAATTAAAATTTTTCAGATTATACACATGTGTTAGAGAGATAGAAAGAAAATATAACTGCTAGTGGGCATATATATATGCATAAATGTAAAGAGAGAAAAAAAGGAATACATAAGAGATAGTTGCTATTGATTCGTTAAATTAATTTTGTTTCCTTCAATTGATTATTTAACTGAACTATTTGCAAAAAAATAAAAAAAAAAAAACAAACATCTATTCCTAAACATTTTAGTCTAAATCTATTTTCAATTTAAATTTTCGTTTAAACCGTTACATCCATAAATATTTGATTTAAATATTTCTATTCATATCATTATGCTACTACTTTTTGTTTAAACCATAAATTAAAATTATAATTCAAATCAAATCAAAAAAAAAAAAGGAGAAAAATGTACACAAATATTTCTAAAATTTAAAAGTCCATTTTAACTTTCATTTCCAAATTCTTTTTTTTTTTTTTTTAAAAAAAACTGAATAAAGCATTGGTTTATTTGAAAGCAAGAAAACGAAATGCTAGAAAAGAATTAATAAATTATCTAAAAATGATTCTTCTGTATTGAAAATGATATCTATATTTTTTTTTTTTTTTGAACTTTTTAATAATTTGAAAAATTTAATTTACTTTTATTAAGTTCGCTCTATTAAGCTTTTTTATTTGTTGCTTAAATTTACTTTATTAAGTATTTTTATTTGTTGGAAAAAAAAAAAAAAGAAAGAAAAGAAAATAAAACTGATATTTTTTTTTTTACATTAATCAATATAAGAACAACGTATCATTTTTTTTTTTATAGCTTAGTTGAAAAATTCAAAAAAAAAAAAAAAAAAAAAAATGATGATGAAGAAGAGATTAGAATGAAATTATGCTTGAATAAGAGAAGAATTGAAATGATTTGAAAAGTTATTCTCGATTGTGACATTTTATCAATCTTTTTTAATATCTTTCATCTCTTTAACATTATCTTTTTCAACTCTTATTGTATCATTCTTTCCCATTTTTATTTTTTACTCATTTATCAATTTCTAATATTTTTCATTTTTAGCAAACCAAAATAAATATATGCAAAAAAAAAAAAAAAAAAAAAAAAATGTTTCCTTTTAACTATTAAAAATTTCTTTCTTTTTTTTTTTGATTAACTGATAAGTGTAAATAAACAACGAAGTTTTTACAAAAAATTTTTATCATCGATAAATTTTTTTCTAGTAAAAAAAAAAAAAAAAAAAAAAAAAAAAAAATATAAAATAAAAAACGAAAGTAAAATGGCAAGATTTCAATTATTTTTGCAAAAAAAAAAAAATACTATTATTAAGTAAATTAATTACTCAATTTTCCCTTCTGTAACAATTTTTTTAAAAAAAATAAAAAAAATTTTGGAATAAATAAAAAAGTTTTGTAACATTTTTAAAATAAATAAAAAAACTTTATAAAGCATTATCAATAATATTTATTGTTATCACAACTAGTTTCAGAATTTCTTGCTGATTTTTTTTTTTCATTTGAAAAATAAAAAAAAATTTATAATTTCGTTCTTTTCAAGAGATTTTTTTTTTTTTTTTTTGTTTGAATATTTACCGGGGATATAAACATATCTGATAAAATATACTAAAACTATCACATTTTTTCAAAATTTATTTTGCAACGAAAAACAATTTAATGATTTCTTGATTTTATCACTTTTTTCATTAAATTTTAAAAATTTTGATATTTTGTTTTTAACCATTTTTTAAGTAGTAATATTCAATCGTTCAAATTAAATTATAATTCAAATTGTTAATAAAAATGGAAATATTTTTCAGGAAATTATTCATTTAAACCAAATTAATTCGAATCATTTTCAACCAATTATCATCTCATTCATATTTTTAATTTGCACTTATTTTTCCACTAAATTTAATGCATAATATTTAAGACGTACGTCAAAACATTAAAGTAAGAAAGAGTAAAAGTTATAATCGAAGTACTTAATTATCAATATAAAAAATGATGTATGAATTATTGTGGTGAACGTAAATACATTATTAAGATTATTAAGAAATAACAAACTTACATTTTCAAATTTTCTAATATTTAAAGCATTAAAGCTAAGATTTATCTTAATTAAAAATTAAAAAGATTAATTAAAAAGAATTTGTGATTAATATTAATTGTTTTTTTTTTTTTTAAATATTTTGATAAATCTGAATTAATATCTTCGTGATTTTGCTTTGAAAATAATATCAAATATGGCTTTTGTGACAAAAAAAAAGAGAAACGATTTTTCATTTCAGCTAAATTTATAATTAGTTCAATTTTTTGTATACAAAAAAAAAAAAAAGAAAAGAAAAAGGAGCATTTGTTTTTATATCTTAATGTATGGAAAAATGTCAAAAAATTTTTGATGAAAAAGTTTTTTTTTGATTTATATTTTCTTGGAAATAATTATTTTTTGGCTATTATTTTTAGTTTTCTCACAAACAATTTATTATTTTAAAGAAAAAGAAATTATAAAAAATATATAAATTGGAAATTATTATGCGAAATTATAGAATTTATTAATATAAAACTAATTGTAATATAGTGCAAAAATACATATAATTTTATCAAATAAATATTATTAATCTTTTTTTTTTTTTTTTTTTTTTGTTAACTAAAAGTATAAATTAATTATGTATACGAGAAATAAGTGCTATTCAAGAGTTTACTCAACAAAATTTTTGCTAAAATCATCAATAAAATGATGACTGAATGATAAATAATAATTGGACAATAATAGAAGTACCATTGAAATAATCAAAACAATCGAGACAATACAACTAACTATTATTATTATTATTAATGAATGAATACAGGGGAATTGAGTAATCGGAACAATAAGTATTCTTAAATTCAAATTTGCAATTATTCAATTTGAAAACACACTGATTATTTAGTATGCATTATCAATAACTTATATATTTCAGTTATAAATTGAACTGTTGGAAAAAAAATTTTTTGAATGAGAAAGGAAAAGAAAAAAAAAAAAAACGAAAAAATTGAATAAAATAGCTGAATCCTGATAAATAATATGAAATAATAATAGAAATAAAATAGCAATAATGGCTACAATAATAATAATAATATTATAATAATTTAAATTATGATAATAATAATAATAAATAATTACTACTAATAATTCACTTTTAATGACGTGTAAAAATTATTCTATTGTTGAAAATAATGATTTGAAAGAAAATTAAATCTGTTAATTTCATTTTAATGATTTCACTAAACTGATAATAATGAATAATTACTATTAATAATTCAGTAAACTGAAATTTTTGTAAATTATCACTACTGTTAAATATTCTAAATTTATCTACTTATTTTGCTTCATATCTAGTCAAAAATTTTTCAAAAATAAAATTAAAATTCAAAATCTTATCTTACACCATATTGAGGCAAAATAATTTTTGCTAAAGAATTGTAGGTTAAATATTTGTTTGAATGTTTATTTGAATTACTCGAATTCATAAGCTTTCTTCTTCAACATATATCCAAACAAAAATTAAAATATTTGTTTGAATACATGCTTGAATTTTTAAGTGGAAAAACCGCCATCTAAATAATATTAGTTTAAAATATGAAATGAGCATGAAAAGATTGAAATTTTCTTAGGCATTAAACTAAAGGATGGGTATGCTATCATAAATTATTATTGATGGAAATGCAAAATTAAATTTAAAAGTAGAAAATTGAAATTATTAATAAGTAAAAGTAAAAAAAAAATCTCCAAAGCAGCAATTATTTACTCATTATATAATTTTGAAAATTTGATAAACATTTTTGATTGTTCTCAAATTATTGAATTTACTAAATTATTAAAGTTCAAATATGATAAATTTTTGGATCAATTATTCAAATATTTCACAGCTAGCATTATTTTTTCAATACATCTTTCTTCGTCACTTTTTAAAAAAATTGTTTACGGTTAATAAATTGTTTTCCAAATAAGTTCTCTTAAAATTTTTTACTTGAAATTTTTTCGTCTTTTTTTTTTTTTGAAGAAAAATAAGGCTAACTTTTTTAGTGTTTCTTTTTAAAAAATAATGTTAAAAATCAGTCATCTATATTGGCAAATGTTATG